CACCTCCTACATATGCTGAGTCCTCCTATTCTTGTCATTCCTAGAGGAGACATTATTTCTAGGAATTCCTTGTCTACAGTCCCTTCTTAGATGTCCTATTCTTCCACAATTAAAACATTTGGCATTTTAGTGTCTCCTCATACTGTTGGAAATCACTTCTCCTACCCAAACTTCAGTACTATAGTCAAATATTTCAATATCCACTGTATGCAAGATCCATTCATCTATGGGTACTGATATGACCTTTAAAAGCTCAAGGATCTTCTTACATTCTAAGTTGGCATTTTCCAAAGCCAAAGATACAATTAGTACACATCTAATTTCAAGGTCTGTCACTACTAATTGTACAGCCTTAGTTAATCTTTGTAAGAAATTAGTAAAGTGTTCTCTCTGGCCTTGTTTAACCCTAATATATGACTCAGTTCTCTTTTCTAGTTCTTAAGTCCTGTCCCAATCATTTAAAGCTGCTGTGCTACATAGGGACAAGGTGTGTTTGCTGTAGCATGCCTGTTCCTGAGGATCAGAGTAATGACCCTTGCCAAGAATTTGATCTTGGGAAGTCTCAAATCCTTTTGCATTCCTCTATTACTCTAAAGTTTTTGCCTCTTCTTTCCAATAACACTACCAAAGAAGCTGAGGTCCATTTTCTAGGACTGCTGAGATTAATTGAAGCCCATCGTGTGGAGTAGCCTTAGTGCTTGAAGCCCATGTTTTCACCATTTCCCTTACAAATGCTGAATGTTACCCATAATTAACTATTGCTTGTTTTATTTCTTTTAGATTGCTCATATGTATTGGTTCCCATGCATAATCTTTGATTACCTAGCATACATTGTGCCAGATGCTCTTTCCTAGGAAATTACCAGATATGTGTTTGAAACTGTTTATGTTATCCTATGGTCTGGTATGCACTGATGAGACTAAATCCTGTTCTTGTACCTTCTGTCTATGCTCATCAATTTCAATACATTTCTCAATTGTTTCATGTCTTTTTACTACTGCCTTTTGTAAAGTCTGAATATCCTGTGCCATGTTATCTTCTAATGCTCTCACTAAGGATTTCAAGATATGACAGTTGTTCAGTAAAGATAATGTCTCATCTTTGGAAATAATTTTGACTGTGTGCATATTAACTTATTGGAGATATATCCATTAATCTATCATAGCTTTTCAATATATTCCAATATTTAAACTCAACAGCACAAATTCTTTCGGATAATTTTGTCAAATTGATGCTATCCCACTCTGTAGTATTGAACTATTTTTTAAATGAGATAATATTGAAAACCAAACTAATTCCTAGAATCAAATAAAGAGATGTAGAAGGAAAGTCATGTAAGCCTTGCAGAATGCCTTCCATAGTAGAAGCAAAACAATTATTGAACTCCTGGATGTTGTCCGTCATTTTTTTCTAGTTTTTCAGATATTACTTGTCATAAGGCAATTATAATGAATTGGAGTGGGTGTACTAATTGTTATCGCCCTGCAGGCATTGCAGTTGCAGCCATGTGGCTGAGAGATGTTAGCAGCAGTTAACAGTGTGTGTTGCTTACTTTGGTACTGAAAAATATGCTTTGTTTAACAAATTAAGAGCAGTTATTAAGGTGATCAAATGATTCTGAGAGTTGAAGCCCAGGATAAAGAGAAAATCTAAAGTTTTCTGTCAGTTTGAGTTGCAGACTGTGTGCACCATGGGGATTGCTGGCAGCAGCATGTGACTTGCATGCAAAGCACAGAGAGGCAGCCTGTGGGTTCTGAGCCAGGGAGCACTCGGCAGCCAGCAGCCTGCTACATCTGAGGACTGACTAGGGTCCCGGGCAAGACTGTCAGTGGACTGATCGCAACCAAAGAGCCATCTCTTCAATTCCTAACTCTCCCTCTTTTATGTAATCCTGGAGTACAAACCTAGTGAATGGTGCCATTCATAGTGTGGAGCATGACACAAAAGTCTGAGGACTTCTGGATGAACTTGGAATAAGTAGCGTGGACCTGTGTGGCATCCAGTGGCTCTTGTGACCCAGATCTGCCTCAGGAAGCTTCCTGGTTCTGCATGGATTAACTGTATAACTAGAAAGTTTGTTCTCTGTCCCTTGTCCTTCCCTCTGGACAACAGTGGATCAAAACAGAACATTCTTGCACTTGACATCACTTTGGGTAGGTTCCTGTAATCCCAGTTCCCTTCTTCTCATATAAGGATCAGAATGATTTCACCTTCTTCACATATCACATTACATTTGTTTTTGAGATTGAAATCTGTTTTTACTAAAGCAGTCTGTATATTATGTATGTACTTACTAAAGAAGGTATGTATATTAGATATAAACTTGTAGTCTCTGGGTTATATAATTTTCTTTTGTCTGTTATATGAAGGTATGAATGGACTACTTCATAGCACGCACAAGAAACATTTATGTTCCAGGGAATACATCAAAAGAAAATAACAGTGGAGGAGAGAGAAGAAAGACTGTAGCATCTCATTTCCTTTGTGTCCTTCTTGGTCTTTCCCATTGATGTCCTCAGATGGTATCCTGCCATTTCCAACTTCGAATGCTGCCAGTATTAGTCCAAGGTGTACCGACTCACCATTTGTTTAAGCACTGTGTTTTTATTGTTCTAGATGCCTACAAATGAGGCTTCATTTCCTACTTCTGGTTTCTAGGTCTGGGCTTCTTGGTTACAGATCTTGTATATGCCATTTTTTTCCTGAGATTACTCGGTTTTACTTGGGCTCTGGACAAAGGAGGATCCAGAATTGTTTTTTGAAGAGATTGGAATGGTGACCACTTGTCAGATCTTTGAGCACTGTAGCTCTGGGTTCTCATATGTAGTTCTATCCTCGAGTCCAGATTGGAAAATAGACTTTAAAAATAAACAGCCTTCAGAGAACAAATTATGTGATCTTGAAATCTAAAGTAACTACTTGATTTCTAGGCTCTGAACACATCCTTCCAAAATTCACATTGAAATTTAATCTCATGGCAACACTGCTAAGGAGATGGGATCTTTCCAGTTATAGCATCACAAGACCCTCTCATGAATGGACACATTTGTAGCCTTGTTAAAGAAATGTTAGTTTTATCTACCATTGGAAGCTTTCCGTATTCTACTCTGGAAGGACACCACTCATGTGCTAAGGAAAGCTCAGCAACCAGATCCCATCTTAGACGGAAGGACCATTCTCACCACTCACCCTGTTGGCTAGCAACAGCTGCCAGAATTATAAAAACTACATTTCTGCTCCTCAGAAATTACCTGCTTATGGAGGTTTTGTTACAATAGGATAGATGTGTTCAAACAGTGCTCCAGGAAAAGTGTCGTCATTTATTCTGGGGTATGTGGAGCGGGAAACTTTCAGTTAGTATTGTACTCATTGGCTGTGCACTTTACCTTCTCATACTCTGCATCCAAAATGCTTGGAAAACCAGAGTGAGCATTTAAAGTAGAAAGGAGTTCTCTAAAGTGAGTGTTAGTTGCAACATCTTGAAGCTGTAAACACATACAAACCAGAACCACAGTCCAGCCACTGAAAGGCTCAATCAAACTCCCAATGAGAACACTGGTCACTCTCTTCTTTCCCTTTCCCTCTTCCCTCCCCCTCCTTTTTTTCCCAAGAAGATAGGGTTGAGGAGGCTTCCTCGACTTGTTCCCATTTCCAACTACCATCTTGAGAAATATTTATTCCATTTGTTATTCTACTCGATTTTCTTCTGTCATTAGAAATTGCAATAAGTCCAAACCTGAAATTCACTATGAGCTAGAAACAAATCACAGACTATGAATGTATTTTTACCAGCTGTTTAAGTCACACAGGCAACAATTTATACAGAAATCAGATTGTGGGTAGTCAGAGTGAAGTTTGGCTTCTATTTCTTGGACATGTGTATCTATCAGAGGTTTCACAGACCTGAAAGTTTGTCAGGAATCCTGATGATCTTGGTTATCAACACAATTAGATCTGGAGTCAACAAAGCAACATGGCACTGGGAAGGTCTGTGTAGGTATTTCCTGGAGGGGGAAACTTCCTCACCTTTGGAAGGGAAAGACACTTATTCAAAGTAAACAGCACCTCCCAAAGGTATCCCACATATATAGAAGTTCAAGGAAAAGGCTATTGCTTCGTGTTTGCCCCTTACTCCCTTGCTTGTGAGTGCACTGTCTGTTGTTGCCTCTCATCATCACTCAGTTACCTCAGCCTTCAATGTGAACTAAAAACCAGGGGCTTATAAGGATCCTCCAGGCCTTCTTTACCAGGTTTCAACCTCTCCAGCTTGCAACCAGCCATTGTAGGACTACACAGAGTGTATTATGCCAGACAATCTACAAATCTCTTCTTAGTATATATTCATCTTGTGTGCTCTCTTCCTCTAAGAAAACTTTTAAGTTGCTTCCAAATCTGGGTTTTTGTTTCCCCTAATTTAACAGGTTTCTCCAGTCTTATCTGTTGGATTCATAAGTTCACCAAAATGGACTGCATTTTAGGCCTTGTGATTTATTTTACTAATATTACTTTACTAATATAAAAATCATTTCCTACATCAAGAGAAGAGACTCAGGAGCAGTCATTTCTGAAGTTTTCCCAAGGATGACTTTTCTTATTTGTTCTTTACCTTATTATGTTAATTATTTCTTTAAAAAAAATAAGTACATTTTCTCACTTATAAATTCTACTTAAGAAAAACATTAACATTTGAAGTAATAGAACAATACACTAGAAATTTGAAATTTGTATCTACCTAAAAAATTTAATCTCATCACATAAATGCAAATCTTAGAGCTAAACACTCTCTTCAAAGAAAACTTTCTTCAGACTTAATACCATTTAGACAGGAACAGTGTTTGCAATGAGGTTGTATGTAGCTATCAACAGGATTGTCTTCAACTCTGTGGTTATTTCTAGGGAAGCTGCATTGAATAATGTATGCATCTGAGTTTGGACTCAAAGCTCAAGTAGAGTTCAGTATTGAAAGGAAGAAAATAAAGACATTTTTGTGCTTAAAACAGTAGGTGTTTCCAAACTTATTTTATTTAATAGCTTCCAATGGCTGAAGATTTCCATATCAAATAATTTTTTTTATCAGAAAATGTACCTAAAATAAATTTAAAGATGTTTTTAGGAAACTTAATACTCTTTATGGGACCAGATGTTTTGGATATTTTGTTTTTGGGACTTTGTGGTACCTGACTAAATCATTATGCAGCAGTAAATCATGCTTTGGGGCAATATTAGCAAAATAAAACATAATCTTCATTTCTTATATGGACAAATGAAAGCTCTTGGTCATGTTTGAAGTGATAAATAACACAAATTACCACTTATATATTTTATATTTGGTTTGGGGATATAAGGCAGTATTAAAAGTGTACATGAAAGTGCAAACATACACACAGAGAGAGAGAGAGAGAGAGAGAGAGAGAGAGAGAGAGAGAGAGAGAGGAGAGAGAGAGAGAAAGAGAGGGAGATGGAGAGGGAGTGGGAGAGGAAGAGAGAGATGACCTCAAGTATTCTTCTAGAAGATCAGTTAGAAGTTTCAATAATCCTTTGTAAAAAAAGAAAAAAAAGGCAGTTTTTTTTTCATTATTTTTTCAAAAGCTACTAAGGGAAACATTTCTAAGTAGATATTCCTAATGAAATATTTCTGTAAATGGTTACACATATCCTTAAACCTTGGGATGATGGCATAATGAAAGGTTATGCTTTAGGAAAGAAAATGCCTACCCAGAATAGAAAAAGAACCAGTTACAAGTCACAAGAATTCAAAAGAAAAAAATTTCAATAATAATAATTTCCATTTATCTGGTTTTTTCATAAAATTTATAAATAGCTTTAAAAGAGAACATAGACTAATCAATTTGTTTTAGTTTCTTCAGTTTTCTATCAAGGAGTTGGATTAAACGCTAATTTTTCCAGCTCTAGTATTCTATGATTCAAGCTAATATAAAATATTAAAATGGTCCCATTGGTTTATTCAAATGATAATAGAAAAGGCGGGCTTAAACTTACAAAGCCTGGCAATGTAATTATTTTTGTTTTTTTGATAACAAAGAAAAGTAATAAGTGATGAAAGAGATTATCCAAAATTTGACCCTCTCAGTTTCTAGTCAGTACTCCTGTTTCCAAATCAGCCTGGCCATCAAATATATTACATTGTTTTGTTTTATTAAAGATTCCAGGAATCCCAAGTCCCCACCGCTAGAAATCTATTTTTTTTATTATTTTTAGGCCTTCCCATTTTTAAAGGAGAGCTCAAAATTCTGTCTTGAACATAGAGAAGGGGGCTACTGATCATTCCCAGAATACCTGGGATACAGGGGTGCTGTCTGGGACACTGGGGTACTGCCTGGGATACAGGGGTGCTGTCTGGGACACAGGGGTGCTGCCTGGGACACAGGGGTGCAGGAAAACAGATGTGAACACAGCAATGGCTTCAGCTTATCATTTCAACCCAAGGAACCACTTTTCCAAGGTTTTCTCTCCTCTAGGGGAAAAGTATAGAGCAATTAACACCCAGTTTCTTGGCTGCTCTCCTGTGGTAGAAAAAAGTCCTTCAAGAGTGAGAGAGTGGGTCTATAACCTTCACTATCTGTGCCAAACTCACACTCTAGACACTTAATTCCACTTAAGCCCTGGAAATCTTCTTGCTGTAAACCACGAATCTAGCCATCACCATGCTACAGTCTCTAGCCTTTTAAGGCAATCTGTGATTTACAACTTATTTTACTTCAGGGAACGGAATAATAAGGTGGATTCCTCTTAGTGGCTACAGTATCGTAAGGAGAAAGCCCACTGAATTTTGCTAGGCATGAGAATTTCTTTTTGGGTGAAGTAGGTTAATACTAACCATATAACACAGTTGCTCTTAAATGAGAACAATTTACAACAAAGTAGCTTTTAAGATCGGCCATGTAGGATTCTGAGGCTCTCAACTTTCCGACTTCTCCTATGCCACTTATCAGTATAGATTTCATGCATCTGGTGTGAGCAAATTGTAGCCGTGATATATATATAAGAAACCACCGATGCCTAAATTTAGTTTAAGGCCTGTTACACAGTATAAGAAATGCAATATAGTTTAGCTATCAATGAAATGTTGCTCCTGATCATTCTCCTTCTAAAAAAATGTGAATTAATTAGTCTTTTATCTGCTAATTTTTGGGAAAGACTTAGAAAAAGGAAAAATCAAAACAAGTAACTTACCTCCACTGAGAAAGAACTCCAGATAAACTGGCTAAAGTAAAAACTTACCACAATTTTAACAAAAAGTAAAATTCAGCACAATTTAATTCCTTTTCTCCCTCTCATTTAAGGAATGTTTGTTATTGAAATCAACAAAAGAAATTCATTACTTTGTCCTGTTATTATTAAGGCAGTCTTATGATACTGGCTCCAAGAATCAAGTATACAGTTAAAGCCAAGAGAGACTACCAGATGATATACAAAAGCACGGATGAGCATCTTATACCTGTTTTAGAAGACTGATACATTATACTTGTGATGTTTTCATTTAAACAAGAAATCAATAGTATCAGTTACCTTCATATTGGTTAAAATGCTATGTAAGATTGATTTCTGGAAAACTAATGTTTGGTTCATGTATAATTCTCATTTTTCAATGTAGTTAGTGGCCAAGGAAGTGTTTAAATAATATATGAATGTCAAATGCCTTAGGTATATACCTATTAAAAGGTATGCAAAATATAAATAGGACTGTATATTTTCAAAACTTTAAAATAAACACAAAGAATAGATAGGTCTACATGTTATAATTTAAGGTCAACACTAGCACATAATTTTTTTTTACCTAAATACATTCCTATGACAATACATGCACCTACAAACACATGGTCATGCACAGAATCTTGTTTTCTGCATTTGCAAGAAAGTTAGACTATACAATATTGTACATTGTTGCAACTTAAATCATTTTGGAAAGTCAATGAGGATGGCAATAAAAAAAATCTGGTCTAAGAAATTAAAGTACAAGGAGATAATTATCCCATAGATTAAAAACACTGAAGACTGATGGAAAGATAGGGTATAGATTGCTTGTCCCAGTGATCTTGAAAGTTGCAGAAGAGAACAGGATTGTTTGTAAACACTCTGAATATTCAGTTTGGCAAAAGGGATGAGAACTTGTATAATCCAGCAATCTAGGCTAGAGATCTAGACCATCTGGGCTTCGGATTGCAGAGAGACTTTATAGCTGTAGGCAGTCCTCCGTAAGGCTGGGGGTGCGGACGGCGATCTGGATGCCCATCTAGATGGGAGTCGGCGATTAGCTGGTCTGGCAGGTCTGGAAAATCCTTTTTCATGTGAGGTTTTCACTGCAATGGATTCCTAAAACACAAATAAAGGCCATGATCTCCTTACACATGCCACTTTTATCCACAAAAAACATCAAAAGGATCATCATCACCACCATAACAACAATAATAAAAATGTTCATAAGATTTTGTGCTCATGGTTCCAACTGTCCTTTCAATAATTTTTCAATATTTATTTGCATTATATATAGGTGTTTTGCCTGTATGCACTGTGTGTGTCCCTGGCACCTATAAAGGTCAGAAGTTGTCATCAGATTCCCTGAAACTGAAATTAGAGGTGGTTACCAGGGCCTCTAGAAGAGCAGCAAGTGCTCTTAACTGTTGAGCCATCTCTCCAGCTCCCACAACCCTAGAACTGGCCTCCCTAATAAAGCTGATATTCTTGTACCAGGGGCAGGCAGTGAGGACAAACTCAGGTGTTAGTATTTTCCTTCATAGCCAAGCAATAGCCTCATTTTTAAAATTGTCCTTTTGGATATGTAAATTTAATTCAAGTTTTGTTTTTTTTTTTAAATGAAGCAAAACAATACAATATGTTCCTAAGGATCTACAGTAGAATGAAATTGAATGAATGAAACTTATGCCCTGGCAATGCTGAAGCATGCATGGGCAGCTTATATATGGCGGTTCTGTTGAACTTGTCCATATAGGGTTTCATGGTCTAAGCTGATGAGGACAACTGACCAGGTATCTTCCTCAAGAGGGCACCAGATCTCATTACAGATGGTTGTGAGCCACCATATGGTTGCTGGGAATTGAACTCAGGAACTTTCGAAGAGCTGGCAGTGCTCTTAACAGGCAGAGCAATCTAATCAATGAAAAAGAGGAAACATTCAGCATCTAGTCTTAGTTAATGAGAAATTTGTTTGTTAATGTACATGTTTGCATGTCTCTGGTCATAGGACCTATAGAGTTTCAACTAAAATGAAGGGAAGTACAAAAGCCAAGGGATTCTTTGAAATGCTGACTAATGATAAGTCATCTTATTTAAATTGAATATAATATAAAAAAGGGCATTTTGTATAAGTCTTCATAGTAAATACCAATTTTCTTGTCCTCTCCCTTTACAATTAATGAAGACTGTAATCTTTTAAATGGACAAAAGAAAAAAGAAGTTTATTTAAATGCCCATTCTTTTTTGTTAATTTTCATGTGAAAAATATCTATGATTAGTTGTATTTTGTAGACCATTTTTTTAGTGGCAAAAACAAAGGATCTGTTTTTGTTTGTTTTAAAATTTTAAGCATTTAAAACAAGACATTGTTTTGAATGATTGCTTTGCCTTCACGCACATTCATGTTGCAAACCCTATGAGGCCACAAGGTCATGAAATGGGAAAGTCTGAATCAATCATAGCCAAGAAAGTGGAAGTTATTAAAAATTAATTTACTGAAACAATAAATCTTTAGAGTAAAACTGTAAGTCACAAAATATGTATTATGGTTTTTTTAAAGAAAGGAAGCAAACAACTTTCCATAGGTTTTCGAAAGCATCTTTTATCAATTATTTATTTATTTATTTATTTATTACTTATTTTTGAGGCAGAGTCTCACTACTTAGTCCCAGATGGCCTGGAGCTCACTTTGAAAAATCACTCCAGTCTCAAACTCATAGAGATCTACCTGTTTCTGCCTCCTAAGTGTTGAAATTAAAGACACAATCACCATTTGTGTCCTTAATATTACTTATTTGTAAGTAATGTACTAGATGAAGTTTTTAAAACTATACCCTCGTCTCATATTAAGATATTGCTGGTGTGGGAGAATTATCTGTATTCTGTCAATCATGTATTTTAATAAAACGCTGATTGGCCAGGCAGGAAGTATAGGTGGGTCAACCAGACAGGAAGTAGAGGCGGGGCGATGAGAACAGGAATATTCTGGGAAGCAGGAAGCTCCCTCTGCCATTCCTGCCCAGATCACTGAAGAAGCAACATGTGAGCTGATAGCTGAAAAAGGTACCGAGCCATATGGTTAACATAGATCAGAATAATGGGTTAAGATAAGTCATAAGAATAAGTAGCCTGACCTAATGCTCCAATCAGTTTATAATCTTATGAAGTCCTGTGTGTGATTTTCTTTGGGGCTTGCCGAATGTGGGTTACTGGGCGGGACAGATACCCCAACAAGCAGGCCCCCTCATGTTACATATTGCCTCGCAGAGGGCCAAGATGTTAAGAAAATCCCAACATAGGTTTACATCATACTTATATGATCTAGAAACTAAACTGACTTCAGAGCTATTGCTCAAGACAGATGTAGTCCCTGGTTTCTCAACTGTGTTACCTTAGTCAGATCTAGTCCTTGCTCCACTTGCTGAATCCCACACTAAACCAAGTGTTCCACTTGACACAATTCTAAACATTGACTCTACATGATACCACCACTTACATCAGAACCACATTTGGTCCAGTTATCTCTGAAACATCTTGAATTTTGCTGGGCAGGCCTTGTCTCTGTCTCATAGGTTTTCAGCAGCTTTTCCACAACACCGTAATTTGATCTGGGATCAGCTGACCTTGGCCGGCTAGAAAAATTACTTGGTCTCCAATCATGCTCGTGGAACATGAGCTGATAGCTGCTGGGACTCGGACATGCCTGTATTTGTTTGATCATGCCTGTTGCAGAGACTTTTGTGGAATTACTGAACACATTTTCTATGGGTCCAGGCGTGTGGTCACTAACTTTCAAACCACCAGTCCCACTGTCATGTTCTGGCATGTCACCTCTATGAGCAAGTGAGCTATCAAGAAGGTTGAGATCATCAGGCGATTTTGAATCGTTTTGACTCTGCTGTATTGCTTGACAATTCCTGTCTGTTCTGAAGACAGTTCTGTTAAATTCATCAATCTTTGCTGCCAGCTTTTCATTCCTTGGAGTCTGTTCAGAACTGCAGCTGTAACTTCTAAGTGGATCTCTCTGTGTCACTGATGGAAGAAAGTCATTTTGTACATGAAGATCAAGCTGAGATTTACTAGGATTATCTGGAATCACCTTTTCAAATCTTGCTTTATTGGGTGTAAAACCAGTTTTTTGGGACTGCACAGAAGGGCTCTCCTTTGTACCTATTACGGTGCCATATAACCACGAATTATGTCCAATCTCTTCATTATCTGGAGGCTTGCTATCTATTTTGACTTCTGGTGTCAAAGAGGAAATCATGGTACTCTCTTTCAAATGTCTCTCTTCTTGTGGAAACAGTGGAGACTGCCTCAGGAGGAGATGAGGATTGCAATTAGTTTTGTCTTGACTCTCAAGGGCCACCCACCTGTGATATAAACTTTCCTTCAGTCTTTCCTGGACTTGTTCAGAATATAAACTGGGGAAATTTCGAGAGGTACTTCTTGGAGGAGGAACTGGAGGGGTTTCACTTCTTTGTAAATCAATCAAACCAATTCCCCAGTTTTTCATAGGACTGTTTGGGAGTCCATTGGTACAGCTCAGATTCTTTTTCTGTTTTTTCTTCTCCGTATTGGTTGGAAGCCTGCCCTGGCCATTACGTATCAAGTAGTTCCCATGAGGTACACTGATTTCATTTGGCATTTCCTGGAGAACAGAATCAGACTTCATCCTAAACAATTATAAATCAAGGTATATTAATCACATTTTTTCAAAATGAACTTTTAAAAGAAACCATAGTTTAAAAAAGTATTGATGCTATTAGAAAAAGTCACAATTTACTAAAACATTATGTGTGTGTATAGTTATATATGTGTGTGTGTATGTGTACATATATATATAATGTGATAATATGAATAATGTGATATATGTGTATATATGTATGCTAAATTCATTTATTGTAAGACCTATTTATTGCTTTATTGTGGGGTAAAGTCTTCTGTGTCATATTCATGGTTCTAACCCAAATTTTAGTCAGTGTCATGCCTTATTTTTCCTAACATAAAACCTCATGCTAGATTCCAACTATGTAATGTAGTCTCTTGAGTTTCTGCTCCTGATGCTCCCATTTCTACAGTATTTTTCCTATCATTGCCTTTTCCTCATTTTCCTATGCAAGTTCTATTTTCTATTATATAATTCCAATTCAGCCTTCACTTTTCCCCTTGGATTTCAAATAACATTGGGAACAGGGTCAGTCTGAGTGGAGTGTCATGAACCCTAGGTAATTCCAAATGGAAGGTGTCATTTGAACTTGAAAGGAAGGTATTTTATTAATCAAAGAAAGGTAATAAAAAGAAAGAAACTCTAGCAAAGTGTTCCCATTGAGAGAATGAAGAGCATCCTGGATAAACTTAAAGCAGAGCGAGAGACAATGAAAGACACAGAGATACTAGGTTATGACAAATCTTAGAACAATGTTAGCGCACATGTTGAGGCTTTAAAGTGCTTTCTCAAGGTCGTTGGAATGACCATGGAAGCTTCACTTTTCAATAGTTTTTATTTTTTGGGGGGATTTCATAAATATATTTTGATCTTATTCTTTCATCTTCCTTTAACTCCTCCCAGATCCTCTCTACCTACCTACTCACTCAACTTCATGCTCTTTTTCACCACGACAGCTTTATATTCTATATAATTTGTAAATGGAGTCTGACAAGTCTTTGTATAAGACATGAATAGAGTAACAATGTGGATGACCAAACATCAAAATCACATAATAAAATAAATTATACATATTTAACGTATAAAAGGCTCCTACAACGATGTAAGATGAAGTATAGAAAACACCCATTAACAGAGGACAGAAGGGAGGAAGCTCAATGGGCAAATGAAGAGCAGTGCACAGTGACAAACTCTGTGGCAAGTCATCACAAAGCTCCTCAGGTTCTTCACAGCTAAATAATAATAAGGAATCTCATTGTTGTAGCATTCTAAGAGAAGCTCTGCTCCCTCAATGAGCTAAATATTGATACAAAATAATCTGTACTTAGCCATGTACAGAACTCCAAATTATTTTTTTAAACTTAGCTAAAACTTAGTCTTAAAATTACATTGTGATTCTACCTAAAACAAGAACTGGTGCCATATAGATATATAATGTGTTACTTTGAAGTACATATTCCTTTATTATATACCTGTTAAGAAATAAATGACCCAGTATTAAAATATTTAAATGGAACATCTTATACTTATATATTGTTGTTCAAACATCACATTATTATATTTGTCATGTTTAATAAATGATTTAACTGAATCTGCCCATTTGCTTATTTTTCCTCCTGCTGACACACTTACAATGAGAAAGAACTACGATAAAGGATACATATTCATTTATTACAGTCTATCTTAACTAAACACTAAAAGGAATATCATATTCCTAATATTTAAGTAATGTAATTGATTGGAAGATTACTTTTAAGAATTCATGAAATAAGGTATACACTAAGAGGCAGTTTAGATTCACTGAGTATAAACAGAATTCTTTTTTGATTTTCCAGTTTACAATGATCACATGTATGCCAGCCTACCTTCTGTGGTTAGAGCGCTTTCGGATTTCCTCTTGAAAGGTACATAGTTCTTCACTAACTTTTGCAAGTTCGTCAAGAGCCTTCACACACATAACACATAAAAGAGAACCTTTGTTATCACTCAGAAGTGTTCACACTTCTTTAGAAACAGTTTCTGGGTATCCTATCTTACTTACTGTGTTAAGGGCAACAGAACAGTTTGTACTCTCCTCCTCAGAAGATCTCATGTCAGCCCACACATCACATGCCTTCTCTTCTGTGGCCATCAGATTCAGAAGCCCTACTTTGTTTTCTGGGAGTATGTTTTGTTTTTTGTACACTTGATTTCCTTCCCTGAGGAAGTTCCTTTCTACTTTGTTCTCTTTTTCCAGACCTTCTCGGTGATTTGTCACTCTGAATTCACATTGTCTTGAATTGCGGAGATTTGGAGGGAATTCCATTTTATCTCGAACATGATCAAGATCAATAACCTTAGAACGTTCATTCATGTTCATTTTCCTCCTCAGTTTTACTTCCTGGCAAAGCTGTAAGAAATAAAAATTAAAAATTTACTTTTCCTAGTTTACTTGATCAATATATTCCTTCTTTTCTTTCTTTTTTGATCAATATATATATATATATATATATATATATATATATATATATATATTTAAAAGTAGAATCTCACTACATAGTCTTTAATTGAACCGCATTCTGAAGACCAGAATGACTTCAAACTCCCAAATATCTACCTGCTTCTGCCTCTGAGCAGTGGAAATAAAGGTGTGCGCTTGTGTGTCTAGCTTTGATCCATATTCTTGATACTGAGCAAATCATTTGAGTTCTCTTTGCAATATTACTATATACTACCATGGGTATTAATGCTTGTGCATATAGAGAGTGCCTATAAAACAAGGATGAGTTAGAACAGTTGTGGTGAATCATGAAAACTAGTTTTTAGTAGGGCAAAGTAGGGATTCTGTTTTTCTGATAAGAAATTGGCTCATTAAAAAATTAAAAAATGGTTACAGATCTAAACAGAATTCTCAATAGAAGAATCTCAAATGGCTGAAAAACATTTAAGGAATTGCTCAACAACCTTAGCCATCAGGGAAATGCCGATCAAAATGACTCTGAGATGACCAGTCAGAATGGCTAAGATCAAAAACGCTGATGATAGCTATGCTAGTTAGGATGCAGAGTAAGGGGCACATTCCTCCATTGCTGGTGGGAATACAAACTTGTACAGCAACTTTGGAAATCAGTATGGCGATTTCTCAGAAAACTTGGAACCAATCTACCTCAAAACTCAGCTACACCACTCTTGAGCATGTGCCCAAAGAATGTGCAATCATACCACAAGGACACTTGCTCTACTATGTTCATAGTAGTATTATTGATAACAGTAGATATTATAGTGATATTTTTAATGACACAGTGATACACACGTTTTAAAAATGTTGTTTGTTTTTGTGCAGATTAAAATGAGTGCATTAGTGTTCCACATGATAAAACTGAGCTTGAAAGCTTGGGCCATCTATTGCCTCTGTTAAAGACGATCCTAAATTATTTTTTAAAGAGGCTGCCTCAGTGAGATCAGCAGATATTCTGTCAGCTCACCCCCAAAGTGAAGAAGGAAGCGGCATTCTTTTGAGACCTGTGTCTTGAAAAAGCATATCATTTTTTTTAAAAAAAAACAGACAGTCAAATAACTTTAAGGCGAATACCTTTATAGTTCACAAATGCAATAAACGTCTTTAATAATAACATACTTACTTGATAATTAACTATAACTTCATTTGAGAGAGTGTACATAACTAATATATTAAGGATACATGGTGCTTTTAGTTCCCCAATGTTAAGATTTTAATCACTCACCTCAAGGTTGTCACCAAACTACAGCAATAAACGGATTGTTTTGATGCTTACAAAGTTATCTGTATAGAACTGCTATTCAACATGTGTGATAGAAGGAACAACTCTCAAAAGTACCATGTTAAATCTGAAGATGTTATTGGTAGTCTTGTCCTCATTTAAGAATTCCTGAATAGGCTTGGTGTGGTGGTACTCACCTTTAAACCCAGCACTCGGGAGGGAGAGGCTGGAGGATCTCTGTGAGTTTGAAGCCTGTCTGGTGTATAGCACAAGTTTCTGGGGCTGTTAACAAAACAAACAAACAAACAAAAAAACAAAAACAAAAAACCCTCTCTCTTAAAATAAAACAAAACAAAAAAATTCATGAGTAAAAGGACAATTGCTGTATTTTCGATCCCAAGGGAAACTGTGCTAATCATACACATGACCTTTCATTTTGCATGCTAAATGTATTGGGTTTTAGAAAGTTCCATTCTTGTGTATTATATCCAATTCCTTCTGTATTCATCTCATCCTTCAAGTTTGCCTTGGTATACTTTAACTTATGTGTAATTCTATGCCATTATAACTTCCCATAACTTCTCAACTTAGTTGAAAGAACAACTACAACCAGCCCTGCCCCCCCTCCAAACTAGTATACTGTAATAAATGGAGAACATTTTGTTTGGCATAGGGAATTTGTCCTATGTGATACTCAGCCCTTGAAAGGCCATTCTTTCAAAGGACACAAACAGAAACAATTGTAAACACAAAAATTTCAAGATTTCTATGAACTCAATGTAGCCGTAATCTTAGTTCATATGTGAATTATGTTTCAAATGGTCTGAGTGCATATAGCCCGATTCTTCAATAGCAATGGCAATGAATGTAGACAGGGGCTCAGCAGAGATCTACAAGCATCTTCAGCCAGGTGCTGGAGGCCAGATACCAGATGCCAGATGCTGAATGCTTTCACTCGGTGATATTATTTTTTAACATCACTGATGTTAGAGACGTACATTCAGGAGTCTGCACTTTTCTAGCACACAGCTCAATAACCTGAAAATTTTAATACTAGATCCAAGTAACTTTAAGCAAACATTCTGTATTTTTTGAGCAATATATTTGTTAAACAAAAACCTTTGTTATGTTTACATAATCATACGATTTCCAAGTACTGTTTTTTTTGCTTGTTTGTTTATTTTACTTTTAAAAACAAGGGTTGATTCTCTGTAGCCTGATAAAATATTTACTTGTGTTTTTCTCAACCTTTTTATCTTAGCTTTGTATACTGTAGACTACACACACACACACACATATATATATACATGTGTGTATATATATGCACACACATACATAGTATATATATATATGATATTTACATTATGATACATAGAAGCAACAAAAACTGATTAATTTTTTGGTTATGGGGGTCACCACAACAAGAGGAGCTGTATTAAAAGGTTGACAGTATAAACAAATTTGAAAACCACTTCTAAGTTTTCATTTTAATGCAAGGGTACAAAATAAAAGCAGTCTCAGAGACACCACTAGGTGAGGTTGTACTGACTTTGATCTAATGTATGTGTTGAGATATTTATTTCTTTGGAGGAGGAAGAGAAATTAAAGTAGTTCTCAATATAAAATGAACTTCAGCGAGTTTTTTTTTCTAGATTGGAGTTTACAGTATGTTTAAACTAAATCAAGCCATACCTCTTCGATCTTCTTCTGCATGACCTTCCACTGACTTTCCCATTCTTTTCTTTCATTATCAAACTGGTCCAGTAACTCCATCTTTTCCTTATGCCAGTTGATCTCTGTGTTCTCCCACTGCTTTTGCAGGTCCATGGCAACTGTGTGAGTGTCAGCCAAGGGGTTTCTGCTCATCTCTGCCTTCTCTTAACTGTTTCTTGGAAGTGTGGAAGTGTTTTAATTGAAGTGGTCTCACTTGCCTTTATAAAATAAAGATACAAGCAGATAGAGTCTCAAATTCATGTGCTTTCTGGAAATACCATTTTGCCAAGAGTCAAATATAATAATTAAACTACAGGAAACTAAACACAAAAGAAGCAAGATCTCTCCCATGTCAAGTGGGAAGACTGTACCAAGACCCAAAGCTAGGTAGTCACTGTGGGAGTCTCATGTCTTAGTAAGAAACCACACCAATCTTAAAAATGAAAACGGTCATTATTTTACTTCCTCAAATAAGATCTCAAGTATCATTACTATTCTGTGAGACACATTTTAAAACTTACTCATGGTCTCTTTTCTTTCATTGGGACTATATATATCTACATGTCTAGAATTATAACTATAGGAAACTGAAAAAAAAACTTTCTTATGTTACACTAAGTAGTGACCAAAATGACCTGATTTCTAACATTCAGGAAATGAACATTTAGGGTTTGATGAGACAATTTAAAATACCAGAAATAGGGACTAGAAAGACAGCTCAGAGCTTTAGATTGCATATTGCCCTTACAGAGGACCCATGTTTGGTTTTCAGCCCCCTTATTAAATGACTTATAATCCTCTGTAATTTCAGCTTTAGGGAATTCAACAGCTTTTTCTGAATTCTGTGGACACTTACAATGATACATGCACATACTCCATCCCCACATATACACATAGTTAAAAATGAACCTTAAAATAGCAGATATATAATTCTGTTATAAAAGTTGATATTTTATTTATATTAAAGTGAGGATATTCATAACATTATTATGAATTTTAGATAGTATTTTACATGTATAGCAATTTGAGAAATTAAAAAAAAAACTTTGGACTTTAAAATTCTTATTTTATCTAAAGAACATTTTTATTAATAAAAATAAAATCATGTATGTTTGTAGTGAATAGAAAATCTCATTAATAATAAATGATGTTATTTAAAATAATTATGCCAGTAAGAAACATAGAGTTATGTGTTGTAGTGAAGCCACTTGTTCGTTTCCTAGATGCCCAAACTCCTGAAATAACCACACAGAAACTATATTAATTAAATCACTGCTTGACCAATTACTTAAGCATATTGCTAACTAGCTCTTACATCTAGAATTAATCCATCTCCATTATTTTATATTTTACCATGAGGATTGTGGCCTATCAGCAAGGTGTCAGCATGTCTGCCTTCAGCAGTAGCTCCATGGCTTCTCTCTGACTCCACCTCCTTTCTCTCAGCATCCAGTTTAGTTTTTCCTGCTTACCTCTATTCTGTTCTGCACAGGCCCAAGACAGTTTTTTTTTTTATTAAACAATAGTATTTACAGCATACAGAGGAGAATCCCACATCAGTTATGTGTAACTCAGCAGACTCACATGTTTAGCTTGTCAAGGTCTTGAGCTGATCTTCAGAACACACATGTGTACAAGCACGTGCGTGTGCGTGTGCGCACGTGCACACACAGAAACACACACACACACAGACACACACACACACACATCAGAAAGAGAAAACGAAAACCAAACAAAAACCAAAACCATGATCATCAGCTTACTAACTCATGGCCATATTGCTTTAACCTTTCTGTTACTCATGCACAAATCTACCAATAGTCAAAGTTGAGGTGTTTCTGGCAGAATAAAGTCTGTATAATTATGTAGGAAAAACAATTTTGCATTCACCAAAGAGAACTGCATATTTTACACCCCGTATATTAGATGACCATGAAAGATAACTTTGTTTTTGTCAGGCCTCTCCAGTCAAGATAGGAATGAATTGTTACAATCTTGAAGGAATTAAAAGCATAACTCTTTGTGCAGGCTCTGCTTCTTAAAAAAAAAAAAAGCAAAAACCAAACCATAGCAAATAACAAAAAAACCCTACTGATGTTGAGATCTATATTCTCTCAGAAAGCATTTACCAATGACACTTGGATAGTTTTTGCCAGTTTCCTTGGCACTCACTGTATCAAGTCAGTCAAGAAAAATAAACAGCTCCCAACTTAGTTCCAAACATGCTGTCATGAACCCTGTGTTAGTCACTCTAGTTCTAACCTCATTTTCTTCTCCATTATCCCTGGTTTTGCTTCTGCTACTCTTCACACCTATAAACCATGAAGATCTAACAAAATAAAGACAGTAAAGAATTTGCAGAATTTGGGTTTTTGTTTCGACTGATATAACCTTTACTATTGTTAATTATCTGGTTATATTTCAGGTCCATCTAAAGCCCATTCCCAGGAAACACAGACCAGGCTTGTTTTAAGAATGGGGGGAGTGGGAGGGAAATGGGAGGATGGGAGGAGGTGGAAATTTTAAATAAATAAATAAATAAATTTAATAAAAAAATTAAAAAAAGAAGAATGAGAGACTGCTTCACAGCTATCTGTAACAAACTGTGACCTGGAAGTATCTCAGTGGATATAAAGAATTGCCTCCAGGACATCTTAGGAAAATTAAGAGAGGTCTGAGACAACAAGAGGAAACTATAAATCTAATTAAGGACATTATGCAAAGGGGGTGGGATAATGACAAGATAGAAAAAAAGGTTTTATGATATCCCATGGCTTGTCCCAACTGTGTTTATAATTGCAAACACTCAGAAATAGTTCTCACAGTCATGTACCAATGGGTGCAACTTTTCCTTCATTTTAATTCCTACTGAACCATAGGCATGTCAGAGTTTAAAGCCTTTCTATTTTTATCTACAAGATCATCCAGCAATACTCTAGATCAGTTTTATTCCTAATAATAGGAGTATGTCAGCGCAGAAGACAGTTGTGAAGGCCTGGATCTTGAGCTCCCCCTGCATAGCTTCAAACTGAGCTAGTGTTACAGGGCTGATCTATCTACATAACCTCCCCTTTCCAGAGTCAAAGGAAAATCTATGAACTTCATCTAGTTCATGAAAGGTGATCGCTACTGTTAAAAACGAATGGTTTCATATAAAAAAGAAGGCTTGACCAAAACGTCTATTTACAGCAACATTTGCCAATTTTTTCCTTAGCTTTGCTAGCATCACAATCTTGTATTCATATGCATATAAGCACCCATTGTAACACAGCAAGAGATATTGCATTGTTCTCTAAAAACAAAGTACTGGAGGGTAGGCATAGAAACTGTGAGAAGTAAGCGACCAAGTGAGAGAATGTGTAGTAAGAGCTGAACACTACTACTATCACAATAAATTCTTGATAAGTGATTATTGCTTCCCTCTTTTGTTTCATTCCCTCTTTCCCTTCATCCTTTTCTTCACCCATTTCCATGTCGTCCTAAAGTAAAACTGATTATTTTAAATTCTACTTCCTTGGAAGCAAGTCTAACTGTGGAAACTTTTCTATTCCCTTTGACTGTGTCTTGCTTCAGTATTTTTCAACTTTCTTAAGGCCGTTTGCCAAGCCAAGTATGTAGTGCAAAACCATTCGTTGCTAGCAAAATGCTGAATAAATATATAAAACTCTTTTTTTTGCTATCATTCTCAATTAAGTTTTTAAGATGCTAAGCTAAAGGGTCCATTTTGTAGGGACAGCATGTTCTGTGATGAGAAAGTTCAGGGTCAAGTGGATCAGCACATTCAAAAGCTCAGATGTAGTTCTCTCCACTGAAGCAACTATAAATGTTCTCTTTGTTCTTAGCTGTCACTCTTTCCCTCCCTCAGATTCTGGCATCTATGGGGGAGACAAGAAAGGATTTTTTTGCGTTCTGCATCCTCTTTCTCATATTTCCTTGCTCTCTGTTTTATTTCAGCTTTCCCCAAGTTCATTCAGAATAGAAGTTTACAGAGAAAATGTGGAAGGACAGAGGTAGCTGCATTTGTTAGTCATACACAAGTCCCTCCCCCAGCAGCACCAGACTGGCATTGTGTAATCCCTTTTAACCTACTTCTCCTCGACGCCAGAAGCCAAGACTGTGAACGATTGAGAGTGGTTGCGCAAGTGTGCTGATGGGAAGCAAAATGGTTCAGCGGATGGTTCAGCCCTGCTAGGGAGCAAAGTTTAGGAGTAGCCAAAGTGTCTCACAGGGGATAAATGATAACATACAAACTCTGACTAAAAACAACTTTTGGCTTGGAGAAGCAAAGACATGAGAGTAACAGCCTTGAGCAGAGGATGTATTGCTGCCATTCCACCCACTCCCCCAGATCTGCCTCAGTTTGGTGATGGCCACACTTCTTTACCTGAGGCATACTCAGTTCTTTCTGTGTCCCAGTTATGACCATTTCAAACTCCACCGTGTCCACTGAAAACTGGATTTTAGTCAAGTAAACTCTATGTGGAGAGGTTACTCTACTGCTGCTTCTGCTTGCTCTGAGTATTTGTTCTGTGACCTCTTACTTCCTTTTCTAATAGATTGCTTTTCATAGGATTCAAGTACTTCACACACACAGGAGGATGCATACTCCAGAAAGAAGGGCAGAGACAGCATATCTCGCCAACTTCACAATTTCTAGAGGAAATCATTTGGCCTGGCAATGCTTTGCTCCTGATGAATTTGGAAGGACTAGAAAACACCGTGCCTGGACCTCAAAGTACATCCCCACTTGTCCCCAAAACTCTGCGGCTCCTTTTCCAGGTTCTTATCAACCACTGATACCATTTCAGGCAATTAAGGAATCCCATTTCTCTTGTGCTGTTCATCAGAAAATGCACCTATCCAGAGACTCCCAACTTGACTTTCTAAGGAAGATAAAACGAAAAAGAAATTTCACTGTTGTTCATTGCCACTTCTGCCTGCTCCTTATTTTCTAGCAAGGCCAAAGAGATACATGCAGCACATTCAGTACCAAATCAATCAACTTTGTTTCCTCATTTGATTATCATCGTTTATTCTTGGCTCTCCAATTTTTTATTCATACTTTAAGTCGAAGCTATAGGCACATCAAGTTTAGTTTCCTCAACTGGCAAAATACAGGCCTTGATTAAAAACAGCAACCTTTGTCTTGGGGAAGCAAAGATCTAAGAGTAATAACCTTGAGCAGAGGGTGTACTACTGCCATTTCTTAAAGACTCCAGTGTCTCCAAGCTCACTCTGCAGAAACACTTACCCAGGAGTATGATAGTCATCTTAGATTAAACAACACTTTTTTTTAAATTGCGAATTTCAAATAACAGCAAACTCAGGGGCTGTGAATTTTATTTTGCAGACAACAAAAATAATTCCATCCTGCCACAAATTGCATTCTAACAAATGAGCTGAGCCAAATTTTTGTGAGCCTCTCAGGAATAATGAGAAACACGGTCTCAGGGTGAGGAGGGCACTGTCAGTCCAGGCTTGCAAAATCCACCCTCAGCAGCAGAACAACTCTTTCCCCAGTCAGTGGAGTCGGCTATGCATCCCGCCCACTGTCCTAAATCCCAGACACAGACATCCATCAGCGCGGGAGATGTTGACATCGACGATACTTAAACCTCAACCACAGCCTAAAAGGCAGCAGCTGCAACCCCTCTGTATCCTGCCATGATCAGTGTCTAGCTTTCGAATTCGCCAGAAAGAAACATACCTTCTTGTATTAGGGGGCAATCCTGCAGCGGGTCAGTCTCTGTATGATCAGTCTAGCAACAGAGGAAGCGGGGCCAAGAGCTAGTTGTCTTGTGGAACAGTCTCGATGACTCCTTTTCAAAACGGAGTCCGTGCATTCCCACAGCGGTTCTGACAAGCCCCTTCGCAAACTGCACCATCAAAGGGCCACTCAGCCCTGTGTCACAATAGCAGCTGGGGCTACTGTGACGTCAGGGACTTAGAGGCGGCCTTCAGGTCGCTGCTTCCAACCAGAGCTCTGTAACTTTAGAGCAGTGTTCGCACTCTGGGTAAACAACTCCAGGCCCAAGACATTTTTAACTTTTATAATGGAGCCCAGCATTTTCAAACTTGCCAAGTGAGAGCTGCTTGTTAATGGCACATGATGATAATGACCATATTTAGATTTCTTTTATTTGGAAAGTAAACTCATTTCTTAAGCGCAAAAACTATCCTTTCTCCAGCCCCTCTCTACCCTTAGCTAGTAACAGGAAGTAATCCTCAGTGCCTTCTTAAGTCTGGCCTGACATGAAGTAGACAAATATATCAAATAGAGTGAGAGAAAGAATCCGAAAACACACACACACACATTAGTCAAAAAAATATGTGAAAATATACTGAATGTCTGCCTTTATATAAAATAGAAATGGGCTGTATGTAAAGAGCAGCCTTGTATCTCTGTGGTTCTACGAAAGCAGAATGCCTGCATCTGTCCTATAGTGATATTTTTAAGCAGGGGTGATAGAATCGATGGGAAAAGGTGATACTTTTTAGGGGAGGGCAAGCGAAATATCAACAGTGGGATGACTGTGTACTTGATCCCATCCGCCCAAATAGGGAGAAACCATAAGAGGAGGCTGAGGGTAAGCTCTGTAAACCAGATCGAATAGGTCTGTCTTGTAGATGGAAGACAACTTTGTCTCCTCAGCTATCTCTGCTGATTGGTTGGTTGGTTGGTTTTGGTGTGTGCATGACTCAGCGTGTGTATATGTATATTTGGCTATACACACACACACACACACATACACACAGAGTTTAGACAGTAACATCTCTAGGATAGTTTTGAACTAAATTCAGCAAATAACCTACACTAAATTTCAAGTAACAAGATTGCATCTTCACGTTGAAATTTCCATTTGTATACCACACTATCTGAAGCTTGATATAATTTTGTATTTTTTATTGGCCTATTTCCAGGTACCATCTCGTAGGTAGCTAAACTGTTTAAGAATGCTAATCTGCTCATAGCATAAATAAACTTATTTAGTTTATCACTAATTTATTTATACAATATAAGTTTTATTTTGTAGCACAGGATAGCCTGAAACTCACTATCATAGCCCTGATTGGTCTCAACTTAGTATAGTCCCCCTGCCATAGCCTTTCAAGTCCCAGAATTATGGTCAAAAGTCACCACGCTCAGCTCAGACTTAGACGTCTTTTCTCCATAGTAGGACTTTAATGCATGCAGAATAACTGAAGGAAATGCTTGCCCGCGGTTAGAGAGTCAGGCTCCATAATTCTAGCAGCAACAACAATCATAATAGTTACAGTAGTAACAGCAATTTCTCATTGCGAGCAGCTTTCTGCAAGGCTCTGTGCTAAGGACTCCAAGGGGACCTTTGTGTTAGTTTACTTCCCTTAGCAACTGTCTCTGCAGTTATTATTAACCTGATCTTACTTATACCCGTGGCTTAGCGAGCTAAAGCATCTTGACAAAGCTCAAGAAACGCCTGTGAGGGGGAGTAAGACTTGGAACTACTTTCCCTATTTGGGAGTCTGGAATTTTGCCACAGGGATCTAGGTTTCAGTTCTTCTGACATCGTTTAACTGTGTGAGTCTACAGCCTCTGTCTCTGCCTTAAACAAATATATATATATATATATCATAAGGTTTTAAGGCAAGGGGATACATGGAGGGACAGAGGGACAGACAGTTGCTCCCATTTGCCTTGGTGTTAAGGCAAACAGGAGGGTGAAGGAGGGAGTTTGCCCTGAAACATCACCTGAAACTATCAAATATTGCTTCTGGGAACTCTCATTTCAAAGCACTCAGTTTCTGTGCACTCTTTGTAGATCAATTTAAGACTTCACATCTGGGCAGGTCAGCATAAGCCAGGATTCCCAGAATATCAGAGATGAAGGCAAGAACATCAGGAATTCAAGGCTAATCTCAGAGAGTGAGGGCATTCAGACCAGCCTCAGCTCCAAGTAACCCTGTTCTCCAAAAAAACAACCAACAAACATAAACCCACAAACAAAAGCCAAAGAGAAGAAAGAAAAAGGACTCTCCCCAAATTTCTATTAGATAGCATCTGGCTGGCTTACAGAAGTTGTTGTGCTTTGGACTTCAGTCTCTCCCAGTGCTATTTTAGTGCCCCTCTTTATGTGCTAATGAAAAGGATTACAGGTAGGTTTTTTTTTTTTAAACAGGTAAACTTGTAGTACTTTTTATTAGCTTCTTGTCAGTAATGGTATTGTATGTAGACTTTGAACAAGCATTCACTTCAAGTTGAAAAATCATGTGACTATCTAGCAGCCTTCTGTTAAATAATTTTGTGTGTATATATGTGTGTGTGTGCGTGTGTGTGTGTGTATATATATATCTCCTTGATCTCTTTGTGTGTGTGTCTCTTTGTTTCTCTCTTTCTCTGCCTCTTTCTGGCATGGGTATGAAAATTAACTGATAGAATACAAAGGCAACAACTGTTCAAAACAACTTCTTTCAGGAGTTTCCAAACATTTCCATTTTGAGATGAATTGCTATTGTTCTGTACACAAAATCCATGAATTTAAAAGACTAATGATGGTGTCCTCAGTCCCACAGTAATGGTGATATTTTTATTTATTAAGTCGATTGACATTTTTAAGTAGGTGTTAGAATAATGGAATATTTTTATGGAAAACCTGCAATTTATTGTGTAGTTAAGATGATTGATTTGTAAGCCATTTGAGTACTTGACTTCATCTTAAAATAAGAACCACACCCAAGTTATTGCTCTCATTTTAGAAATAATTATACGCTCACAATTGCTAATCTAATTTCTAAGTGTAACAGAAGATACACAAATATTGTAATAAAAGTAAATGGAGAAACACCAACCGCTATTAAGAAAAACCAGCAAATTATAAAGAGGATTTAAAAGCATTTGTACATTATCCACAAACTAGAAGATTTTGAAAAAGTTGAAGGGGGATGCTGAACATATAAATGGCACCAACAGGTGCTTCCAGAGTTACAGAATTTAGAGCCAAAATGATCCTCTGAAGTCATCTAGTTAACCTTCTCATTTTACAGTGAAGGAGGAGGCTCTGATGTGAAGTCATCTGCTCAAGGTCACAACACTAATGAAGCCAGGAATAGAATCCAGGATCTCTCATTCCCAGTGTGTTGCCTTGAAATTTAAAATTCTAATCCATTCAAGAGACAAGAACCAAGATCAGGGACAAGGCCATTGGTTGTGACCAGAGAAACAAATGTTGGCTTCTGGCTTTGTCAAATTCTGTTTTTTCCTATGTTGAATCAAGGGAGGTAATAGCCTTTCAATCGAGTACAACATGATAGTCATATAGCTAAATGTTTATTTTTGGTAATCAAGGCTTGGAGCCTAGGGAGATGGCTCCATGGGTAAAAGTGTTAGCCATATAAGCCTAGTGGGCCTAGTTAAATCTCTGAAATCAATGTAAAAATCTGGTATGAATCTGTAACCCTAGCACTCCCATGGAGAGATGGGAGGAAGAGTTAGGAGAATTTTCCTGAAGCTATAATACACGGCGTAGCAGCCAAAACTAGATACCCCATGCCAACAATGTGGAATGTGAGAACGGACTTCTCAGTGTTGTACTCTGACCTCTACTCATATGCAGTAGCATACATGTGCCCTCATGAGCAAGCACACACACACACACACACACACACGCACACACACACACACACACACACACACACACACACACACACACTGGAGAGGGGCACATGAAATTAGTAGTAAATAAAATGTTAAAGAGGCTTGGGTCCTCAGTTACTAAGAAAAATTCTGTACCAAAATTCAAAGACATAAGAATTCTAGCACTGTAACTTAAAAAAATCCATGTATAAACACAGCAGTATGGCTTTAAACATGACATGAAGCAACCTATAGTTTTTCTACCTGCTGGATGCTCTTTAAGCTTCCCAAAAATAATTATTTATTTACTCTTTTTGAGCCAGGACAATTCTGGCTGTTATAGGACTGGGGAGCGACTGAGTTTATGGTTGTACAGCCTTTTTTCCCCTTCTTTATCATCCAGTCATACTTAATAGTAAAAGGGCACTGTGTTTCTGCTTTTTAGAAATGACATAAAAATGACTGGAGCACAGATCCTTTCATGCTAACATTAGAGGCCACACTATAAGTAATGTGTGTTAGGTAGTTATTCCTTCAAAAAATGTCTGCCTTGTACAGTTTCTTAAGGTACATGACCTCAGTTGTTCAGCAGAGCTCTTCAGCCTTAAATTATATTTCTAGATTGTAAGGAAGAGAGAACTGGGATATATTTCAGTTAAAATTTCACTTTAAAAAGAAAAACACTGCTGAGAAGCCACAATGTCCCAGCTCAGACTGTGGGGACTTGAAGAATAAGACAAGTCCGTGAGCTTCAGAAACTGGCACCCCGAGAAGAGTCCCAGAAATGGGGTCTGCAGTGTGACTCTTCACATTCGGGAAATGAACCAACAGACAGATGTGGGAGCCTTCTCTCCTACGTAGTTAAGGACAGTGTTCCAGCCAGGGGTTCAGTTCAGTGTTACAGCCAGCCAGAGGTCACGCTGCTCAGAAATTTATATCGAACTTCACATGAAAGCTGGAACATTCCCCTATTTTGAGTTTTTTTTTTTTTCAATTTGATCATCCAGAGTGGATGCCCAGGCTTTTACTTCCTGCTTCCTGCATCTGTCAACTGTAGTCTTAAGCTCTCTGCATCACAGAAGACCAAAGTTTTAAGTGTGTATTAACAGAATAAAAATGACCCTGATGCATATGGGGCTCTGATTCTGAGTAAAAGTTGGGGTATCTACACCAAGAGTATTCTTCCCTTCAAAGTTACACACTGAAAATATTACATTTCGCCTAGTGCCCCTTTTTCCAGTGTTGGATGTGTTCCCCTAGAGTCATGGGATCCTGGCTGTTTCTTCTATTCTGAGGTCTGGTGACATG